GAAGAGTAACAAAAAATGTGAAAATGTTTTAAAAATGACTAAAAAGTTTATATATGAAAATTATTATTTTTTTATTTTTTTTAATTCAGATTAGCTTTAGTTAGGCCATTATCTTTCAAACAGAACCAAAATTTAAGTTCAATGACGGCATTTAAATAAGTATAAAAAAACAGTGATACCTAAGGTTTAAAATGCATTTGAAAATGAAAAATCTTTTCTTGAAGCTTTTATTTTAGTTTTAATTTCAAGCTAATAGATTACATTTAATATTTCCAATAAAAAAATATTTTGCTGTATTTCAGACTGAATTTAAATTGATTAGAATGATATTTAAGTCACTAAAATTGGCCATATTGACAAATCTGTCAACACATGATTCTAATTCTCTTTATTAAAAAATCTTACAAAAATAAAGTATACATTTCTGAAACTTTAGTTGCAGATTAATTGATTTAAAAGTTTAATTAATCTGAATTAAAACAAATATTACAGTGTAACCCGGATATAAGAGAGTTGACGGGACCGGAGAAGAAGTCTCTTATATCCGGGTTTCTCTTATATCCGGGTTTGGTCTATTTTAACACAGGCTCTAATTTGGGACCAGAGAAAATCTCTCTTATATCCGGGTTACATTGTACTTTTAAAATATTGCAGAAAAGGAATTTTTTTTAACATGTAGGTGGGTATTTTTATGAGATGTTGATCACCTAACCACTAAAACTTAATTTTAAAAAGATTTTACATTTTATATATTAATCTAATAAAAAATTTAAAAGAGGAAAAATCTTTTAAAAAGTAATTAGCCATCAAATTTTTTTTTCTTCTGAAGACAATAAAGTCCATCATTGTTCATAAAAGCAATTAAAAGCTTTTCTATTTAAATAATGTCTTAGTTTCATTGCATTTTTTTTATTTTATGATTCAGAGCAAATTTTTGGTAACTATGGGTCCTGTTTTACAAAAAGAAATTGATGATTTAAATTCTCCAAGGAGTTCTGCTTTTAACTAATATAAATATTCAGCAGATAAAAATGTAATTTCTCAAAATTTCATAAAATTAAATAAGTGAGAGGTAATAAATGTAGAAAAATTCTTCTTACTAAAATTTTATAAGAAAAAGAAAACATTTCTAAAATAATTTTATTTATTTATTTGTGAATAAGTCCTGTGAGCAAAAGTTTAATTTAAAATTCAACAATTATCTGATTTTTTTTGCAAGAATTTTCAACTGTTTTTAACCACAGAAAAGACACTAAAATTTCCTATAAATCTTTGCCCACACCTCCAAAGCAAAAAAAAAAAAAGATTTTTAAACCAAACAAAAAATGATCAGAAAATATAATTTATTTAAATAATAATTTTAAAAAATCCTTTGATTTTTCCTCTTAATTGCATAAAGATTTTGATAAAATTCTATTTTGTTTAGAGATTTTTTTTCATCGATTATTTAGCAAATCTAAAATAAAATTGAAAATAAAATTGTTTTTTTAGAAAGTTCGTCAACGATATGGGTAACTTGTGTAAACTGTATTTTTCTCTTTGTCAGTATTTTTAATTGAATAGATAGATGATTGTGATTTCGTCATTTTAATGTGCGACTTGAAAACTTCATCATTGTGACGTCCGAGTGTGGGGAAATCGAACTGGTATTGTGGCTTTTTTCATCATTATAGAATAGAGAAAGGAAACAGACATTGTGTGTCATTTATTTCCTACCCACATGGCCAGACGTGACATACAGTCACATTTTTGTCATAGTAACTTTGCAGGTTCGCGGCCGGTCGAGCGACGTAGTAGTGATTCGACACGATAGATACAGAGTAGAAGGAACCATCACGTGATTGTTGCAGAGGCGAAATCGACATTTCTCTCTACCTCTACAACAGGGGGTCACAAGGTCTTTTTGCGGGCGTGGATATCTGTCGAAAGGAATGTGGTACAAAGTCAGTTTGCAAGTACAAGTTCTAATTAGTCCATTCCATTCGGGGATACCACAGGCTCAGGCATCGACCCTTTTTAAAGTGCAATTTGTAAGGCCAAGGGCACACAACAAAGACAGACGCCACGAGCCGAGTTTAAAAAACAGACGATAAATTTATTAACACACAAAAAAAAAAATGAGAGAATTACACAAATTAAAAGTGCTTTGTGTGCCAAACGATGGCCAATAATAACATGAATGATATGGTACCTGGATGGAGTTCGCTTTTGATCGGAAGTGGAGTGAAATTATTCCCATTTTAGTTGAGTCTGTTATGGGGAATTCAAACTCTACGGCAGCAGCTACCTCATTGCACTAAAAAGAGAGCTGGAGTCGGTTTAAATAATCTACTGCCAGCCTGATTGGACAATTTGTTGTCCTTTGCCCGTATGGCGCTCACAATGTAAAAATGACCTTGTGTCACATCCTTCCATAGTCGGAGACGACGGGTGAATCTACCTGGAGAGATCTGATCTGAGCATAAATTACTACGAACGAATAATCAGACTTTCCGAGGGAAATAAACAAACACTAAAATTGTACGTGGAAAATTCACCATTTTTTTCGAAGAATCCCGATGGCTTTTGCGTTACAATATTAAAAATCTTTTCAAACTTTTAAGACACGAATTCGATAAACAGTCGAAATTTAATTAAACATAAATAAATGTAAACAAAACTTCAATATAAATAAAATAAAAAATAAATAAACTGTGCAGACAGGTAATTTAATAAACGATATTTATTGAAGTACCTCTTTACCGTGCATTTTTATAATTTATTTTTAAGTTTAATTTCGCCCGAAATGTTTAACGTATTTTTTATTTTAATTAGAAAACGACTTTTAGTTTTTAGCGTACCTAATTTTGTCCCTATAATAAGCAACAAACTCTCGAATGTATGTTTAGTAAAAAAGTTTTACTTACGTACGAATAACTCCTCCTCTTGAATCTGGTATTTGTGTAGGTAAATAAATAAATATTCCTGCCAGGGTTCCGATATGTTTTCCTAGCGGAGGAAAATCTCACAATGGGGAGATAACAAATAATAAAAGCCATTTTATAATCGTAGCTTACATGTGACACAAGGCCGAAAGTATGGAGTACCTAATCATCATAAAACTCATCAGGCGAGATAAGCTTGTTAACCATTACACCACATCGAAATGCTAACTAACATAACGCAACGGCAATCAATTTTTGTATGTACCATCAAACAAAAATGGATATTTTGTTTTTCTCGAAATAAAAAAGCAAAAAAAAAAAAAAAAATTTTTAAATATTTGCCAAAAATCCGATTCAAACAAAACAAAATTTTCAGTACTTTTTCATTAATGAATGATTTGCTTTGTTTTTTTTTTTTTTTTTTTTTTTGTTTGTTTGTTTTTTCATTTTTTGATTTTTACTGAATAGGTTATATTTTATTAAAAAATAAAAAAAAAACTTCTCTACACAGAAATTAACCGTTGAGGCAAGAAAAAGAAATAAAGAAAATAGTGAGTCTAGGCGAAGTCCTTTTTATATATATATAAATACCAGTGTTCAAGTTTTTGCTGGTGTCAAATTATTCGCCAATTATATTATTGGACTTTAACCAAGCACGTAACCACGTAACAGTCGGTTTCTTAAATAATGTCAGCTCAACCCTTACCTCACAGTCGGTTGGGGGGTGTAAACGGTAGTGTCAGAGCTATGCCGCCCGGAACTTCGTTCCTGGTAGGGCCACCCAAGGCGGACAGGTCTGACACACACGCCGGCTAACAAGGGCTCTGGTGAAAATCCAAGGAGCGTCTGTATCGGTAACCGGCGGCTTCTGGTCGTTCCTGTCTCTGCGTCTATGGGAACCCCGCGGCAAGCAAGAACGTTATCCGAGTAGGCCTGGGTACCCTACTTCTGTAATTTATCCCAAGAATCTTCTTCTCATAACAGGAAGAAGCCGGCTCAATCCGCCCAGGGTGAATGCCGCATCAGTACAGTACAGTAGTAAGCACGTAACACACCAAGAACTTTTCTTTCAACAGTTCAAGCTAAGTATTTCAAACTCTCTCTCTTCTTCTTTTGAACGTATGCAAACCGTACACCCATTCTGCGACAACAAACTCTCTTAGCATTGTTTCAAACATTTTTGAATGTTTTTTTGTTTTTTTTGTCAGATCATTTAATCTGTTGTATGAACATTTCCTCCGCATAACAATTCTTTGAAACTAGGGACTTCAAAAATTTCTCATTTATTTTCCTGAAATGAACTACTGACACTGCTTCAAGTGTGTAAAATGAATAAATCCCGTATCTTGTTTTTCTAAAATTACCCATGTTTCCTCGTTAATATCTAGCATTGATCTTCTTGGCGTGGGTAAATCAACTGTTCACTAGTACATAGATGTATGTTACCAATCTTTGGGATTTTTCTAAACATATATCAAACAATAGAAACAAACTGACCAGACGTTTGAATTATTTTTGGCTAAGTTCGGGATGAATTTTCAGTTATGTTCACACTTGATAGTTGCATTATTTTTTTTTTTTTTTTTATGGAAATATCTTCTGTGATTATTCTTTAACTGTTAAAAAAAAAAGTACGACCTTTCCCCAAAAAACAAAAACGTACAGACAAGATATCAAAAGTGTGGTGGTGGTGGGGAGGTAACATATACCCCCAAAATATTTCCCCCCAATTTTTTTTTTTTTTTTTTAAAATATAACCTATTGTCGCAGTGTGCCCAAACACCACTCCCACCGTTTCTTAAACAACCCCGGCTATGCCTGCCGGTAGAGAAAGGTCACGGCCCTTGTGTGCTAAAAATAGCAACGACACCCTTTCAAACTGACAGAAACACACAAAACTCAATTTTCGCCACTGAACAAAAATAAAAGACCTTTAATTTCGAACCGAAATTAATTTAAATACAGTCAACAAACACCGAACATACTTTTGACTGTAATTAATACGGCCGGAAATTAATTATATTCATTTACTTGTTTAGCGTCACCGCTTTCTCTTGTATGAACCGTCATATCGAGATGCCCGAGACTTCGCAGCGGTTTTTAGCCGGCCCGGGGGAGCAGGAAGCCTCCCTGATTCGCGACTTTGACGCGCCCAGTCAAGTCGACCAAGCCCAGCAGTTGACGGGACCCAGCAGCAGTTGTTCAAACAGTCCTTTTCAGGGCTAACTTCCCAAAGTCATTCGATCACCACTCTTCGAGGCTCCACTCACTTCACTCTTCGCTACTGCCTTCCCTCTGTAACGCCAGCTCACTCCTGCAGCTTCCAGCACTCCTGCACCTTCCAGCACTCCTGCACCTTCCAGCTCTCTCCTGCACCTTCCAGCTCTCTCCTGCAGCATCCAGCACTCCTGCAGCTTCCAGCACACCTAGAGCATCCAGCTCTCTCCTGCAGCTTCCAGCTCACTCCTGCAGCATCCAGCACTCCTGCAGCCTCCAGCTCACTCCTGCGGCTCCCAGCAGTCTCCAGCTCACCCCTGCGGATCCACTGACGTCCGGCTACCTATTCCAGCACCCGCTGACGACCTAATCCAGCGCCCGTTATCGTCCGGACACCGTTCCCGAACAAACGACCTCTGTCTTCTTACCATCCACCGTTCGCAAATAAAGACACGATTTCCATCGTCTACACGGACCATCTGCGTTTGTCATCCTTCTTTGCTATTGCCTTCTCCTTGTGTCCCCTTTTTAGTTGTACGGTCGATTGGCACTCACACCTCTCGGCCCGCTGCAACACTATTCAATAAAAAAAAAAGCAAAAATGAAAAAAAAAAAAATCATTCATTAATGAAAAAGTACTGAAAATTTTGTTTTCTTTGAATCGGATTTTTGGCAAATATTTTAAAACGGGGGCGGCGAATTTTTTTTTTGCTTTTTTATTTCGGGAAAAACAAAATATCCATTTTGTTTGGTGGTACATACGAAAATTGATTGCCGTTGCGTTATGTTAGTTAGCACTTCGATGTGGTGTAATGGTTAACAAGCTTATCTCGCCTGATGAGTTTTATGATGATTAGGTACCCCATACTTTCGGCCTTGTGTCACATGTAAGCTACGGTTATAAAATGGCTTTTATTTGTTATCTCCCCATTGTGAGATTTTCCTCCGCTAGGAAAACATATCGGAACCCTGGCAGGAATATTTATTTATTTACCTACACAAATACCAGATTCAAGAGGAGGAGTTATTCGTACGTAAGTAAAACTTTTTTACTAAACATACATTCGAGAGTTTGTTGCTTATTATAGGGACAAAATTAGGTACGCTAAAAACTAAAAGTCGTTTTCTAATATAAATAAAAAATACGTTTTAAACATTTCGGGCGAAATTAAACTTAAAAATAAATTATAAAAATGCACGGTAAAGAAAGAGGTACTAATTTAAATTTATTCAATAAATATCGTTTATTAAATTACCTGTCTGCACAGTTTAATTATTTTTTATTTTATTTATATTGAAGTTTTGTTTACATTTATTTATGTTTAATTAAATTTCGACTGTTTATCGAATTCGTGTCTTAAAAGTTTGAAAAGATTTTTAATATTGTAACGACAAAAGCTATCGGGATTCTTCGAAAAAAAATGGTGAATTTTCCACGTACAATTTTAGTGTTTGTTTTTTATTTCCCAACAAGTTGTCCAATCAGGCTGGCAGTAGAAAGTCTGATTATTCGTTCGACTCAGTAATTTATGCTCAGATCAGATCCGTCCAGACGTCATTCAATGATGAAGTTTTTTTTGTGTAATTCTCATTTTTTTTTGTGTGTTAATAAATTTATCGCACATTAAAATGACGAAATCACAATCATCTATCTATTCAATTAAAAATACTGACAAAGAGAAAAATACAGTTTACACAAGTTACCCATATCGTTGACGAACTTTCTAAAAAAAACAATTTTATTTTAGATTTGCTAAATAATCATGCTGAAAAAAAAATCTCTAAACAAAACAAAATTTTATCAAAATTTTTATGCAATTAAGAGGAAAAATCAAAGGATTTTTTTAAATTATTATTTAAATTTAAATAAATTATATTTTCTGATCATTTTTTGTTTGGTTTAAAAATCTTTTTTTTTTTTTTTGCTTTGGAGGTGTGGGCAAAGATTTATAGGAAATTTTAGTGTCTTTGTGGTGAAAAACAGTTGAAAATTCTTGCAAAAAAAAAAAAAATCAGATAATTGTTGAATTTTAAATTAAACTTTTACTCACAAGACTTATTCACAAATAAATAAATGAAATTATTTTAGAAATGTTTTATTTTTATTATAAAATTTTAGTAAGAACAATTTTTCTACATTTATTACCTCTCACTTATTTAATTTTATGAAATTTTGAGAAATTACATTTTTATCTGCTGAATATTTATTAGTTAAAAGCAGAACTCCTTGGAGAATTTAAATCATCAATTTCTTTTTATAAAACAGGACCCATAGTTACCAAAAATTTGCTCTGAATCATAAAATAAAAAAATGCAATGAAACTAAGACATTATTTAAATAGAAAAGCTTTTAATTGCTTTTATGAACAAGATATGTTATGGACTTTATTGTCTTCAGAAGAAAAAAATTTGATGGCTAATTACTTTTTAAAAGATTTTTTTCCTCTTTTAAAATTTTTATTAGATTAATATATAAAATGTAAAATCTTTTTAAAATTAAGTTTTAGTGGTTAGGTGATCAACATCTCATAAAAATACCCACCTACATGTTAAAAAAAATTCCTTTTCTGCAATATTTTAAAAGTACAATGTAACCCGGATATAAGAGAGATTTTCTCTGGTCCCAAATTAGAGCCTGTGTTAAAATAGACCAAACCCGGATATAAGAGAAACCCGGATATAAGAGACTTCTTCTCCGGTCCCGACAACTCTCTTATATCCGGGTTACACTGTAATATTTGTTTTAATTCAGATTAATGAAACTTTAAATCAATTAATCTTCAACCAAAGTTTTAGAAATGTATACTTTATTTTTGTAAGATTTTTTAATAAAGAGAATTAGAATCATGTGTTGACAGATTTGTCAATATGGCCGATTTTAGTGACTTAAATATTCTAATCAATTTAAATTCAGTCTGAAATACAGCAAAATATTTTATTTATTGGAAATATTAAATGTAATCTATTAGCTTGAAATTAAAACTAAAATAAAAGCTTCAAGAAAAGATTTTTCATTTTCAAATGTATTTTAAACCTTAGGTATCACTGTTTTTTTTTTTGTACTTATTTAAATGCAGTCATTGAACTTAAATTTTGGTTCTGTTTGAAAGATAATGGCCTAAAGCTAATCTGAATTAAAAAATAATAATAATTTTCATATATAAACTTTTTAGTCATTTTTAAAACATTTTCACATTTTTTGTTACTCCTCAAGGCACCATTGTATATGAAAAATAATGTAAACAACAAGTTTAAAAATCTCTTTAAAATCCAATATTTGTCTTAGTGATGTATTTTGAAGTCTTTTAGTGAATTTAAGGATTAATTGGGTTTTTAAAAGTAATGCTTACCTTTTTTATTTTAAACAGAATGAAAATAAAGCTTCCTCCCCTGTCCAAAAGCATGTGAAAAAGTAAAAATAAAACCTAAAAAAATATGGTAGACCAGCAGTGCATTAATCAAAAATGTGTTATTTATGTATAAAAATAAATTTTCTTATAACCAGTGTTATAGACAAGCGTATGGTTGCAAGAAAGAAATACGACAACAGCAGAAATAGATTTACGTGGTTTATTTCAACAGGAATGTGTGGGTTTGGGACAGATACCTTGTGGTAAAGTTCATAAGCCGGCTTTCGGATCTAGGTTGATCTCTCATAGTAGTTCACACATGTTGATGGTGGTTGACGCTCTCCTGCTGACAGCTGCTAAATGTGACTGGTCTCCTTTGTGGCCACCTGTGGACTGCTTGTTGAACTTCCGTGTGACCCCTTTTTTAGCGTTTTTTTCTTTTTTGGCTTAACAGGCTCGAAAAACGAAGTGAGTATAATTAGGAGGGAAGCATTTTTATTGGACGAAAAATAGAACACTTTAAATATTATTTTATTTTTTGACTGGAACACGTGTGTTGGGAACATTTGTAAATGAAGATAATAGTCATTTTGTGACGGGGTATTTGCTTAAAAATCAGCCGAGATATGTCTTATTTTATTTTATAACACCAGTAATTTAAAAGTATAATTTTTTATTCTATATACTTTTGTTAATCTTAGTATAATAAATAAATATTAAGCCACTACCTAAATAAAAATATAGCATAAATGTAAGTTTATGCAAATGAAATAGTTTCATTATTATTCCAACAATTTTCTTGGTGGCAAGGGAAACAAATGATGAGAAAAAATAATGCAAAGATTTGTTTTTAAAATAAGAAAAACTTAAAGGAACAAAACTCTGTTTAAATTACTGAAGTAATCCTTGGTTCTTCTTGTATATAAGAATCTGTACATTAATGCAGAAAAATATAGACCCATACCAATAGGTAGGAAGACAATACTTTCAAGATACAAAAATGGGAGAAATTAGATTAATATCATAACTTTCTGATATTGAATAGTAGTCAGTCAAAGCAGAATATCAGAATTATTTCCTTTTTGTACATCCATACCAAAAATCATCTTTATTGTTAAAAGGAAAAAATAAAATTCTTTTAAAAAAAGGTGATTAGACTTGAAATTTTCAAACGCGTGTTTACTTAATAAAAGAAACTTGTTATAGACAAGCGTATGGTTGCAAGAAAGAAATACGACAACAGCAGAAATAGATTTACGTGATTTATTTTAACAGGAACGTGTGGTTTTGGGACAGCTACCTTGTGGTAAAGTTCATAAGCTGGCTTCGAATCTAGGTTGATCTCTCATAGTAGTTCACACTGGTTGGCACTCCCCCTGCTGACTGCTGCTGACCGCTCAACCTGGCCGTGACAGGTCTCTTCCCTGACCTCCTGTTGACTGCCGTTGTACTTCCTTGTGACCCCTTTTAAGGCGTTTTTTTATGGCTTAACAGGCTTGAAAAACGATGCGAGTATTATTAGGAGGGAAGCATTTTTATTGGTCGAAAAATAGAAACACTTTAAAATATTATTTTATTTTTCGACCAGAACTCGTACGTCGGGAACATGCGTAAATGAAGATAATGGTCATTTTGTGATGGGGCCTTGTCCCGTTCACATCCAGCTCTCGCTCTTGAGTATGTTAGTTTATTTGCCTGTAAATCAGCTGACAAATGTCTTATTTTATTTTATAACAAACTTTTGTGATGAACAGCCACAAGATAAATTTTAAAATCACACTGAAAAATTACTTGTTCTTTTAAAAAATAGATATTAAGTGTAGATTTTTTTTTCTGTCCATTCTGAAAGAAAATAATGTGTTTTATTAAATTATGCAAGCACCAATTTTCAAAAAAACTTATTTAAATATTATTGAATTGTTTTGGATAAGATATGGAAAAAATATGTTCAGACTTGATATTGTATAATTTTTTTTTTACTGGAATAATATCATTGGGGATATAACTAAAACAATTGGAC